CCCCCCCCTCCCCGCCGCTCTCTCTATCCATCTCTGTCTGGTGTTTAAGTGACGACATTACCACCCACTCTCACCCCCGGTCGATGGTGTATATTGGTGCTCGCGATAAGGGTTAATCGACGCGTCGGCATGCTAGGAAAGGTCAATTATTATTTCGTACGTATCCGCCATAGTCGCGTCTCCGATGACACACGCGGACGGGTTATCGTCTTTTATGAGTCTTTGTACTTCGGTTCTTAATTGCTTCCAGGAAGGCTGACATTTACAACCGCGCGCTCTTGTACTGGCCGACTCCGGGCTTCGTGTCGCGTAACCTCGATAACGCGGACGCCGCTGTCCGCGCTAAATTCGCCCGCTTTGGGCCGGAGTTATCTCCGTGTGTTATCGCCGCGTCGTCGTTATTACGTACGTAGGCACGTAAATGCGTGCTGTGTCTACACGTAGCGATGAGGTAATCGCGAAATTTCTGGCGAACGGAAATTCTCGCTCGTACCCGCCGCTCGGTTCGCGAGATCGCAAATTACGAAAAGGAGAAATGTTTCGCGAAACGGGAGACGAAAGTTCGGTTAATGAGGCTAATTTACGAAGCACTGCGGCTCTCTCTGTGCGTATCTCCGATGTTTCGAATAGCGTGGCCGGGTTGTAATCGTGCGATTCGTACGTTTGAACGATAATTTTGCGCTCCGGAATTTTCACGGGATTTGTGCGAATGCGATATTTCCATATCGTGTTTGCACCTTTTACGTATTTGCTTATTTTTACCGAGATAAATAAGTCAGGAGAAAAAAAGGATGATTGCGATGAAATTTGTAGAATCAAAAAGACAACAGATATATTTTCTTTATCGCCGATATATTCTATATATTCGCGGAATACTCGGGCTCGAAGAGCAGTGCGGGCCTGATGGATTTGTTCTCCACACTTGAAACACACACATATACTTGACGCGTTTAAGTCCTGAGTGACTGTCGTATACGCGCGTTAGAATCACGTTATATCGCGTAAAGAATCTTGTAACATGAGATTCTTTATTCTTTCTGTTAAAATAATTTCCCGATGATCCTGCAGGAAGATCATTTGACAGATATTACTTCCCACGAACGCGAACAACTCGATTATCGCGCGCCAAACTGACGTTTCTATTTTTATTTTCCATGTGATCTTTTTACGTCAAAGTCTTTGGAAGGTTTCTCTACGTGTGGCCGGGTGCAGCAATGTAACTGAAGGAAAGAAAAGGACGGAACAGCTGGCCGCCAAGAGACACCGATTCAATCAATCTGACCCCGCGACTTTTCTCCGCCCCGTTTATATTCTTTTTCGAGTCTTCTTACCTTGCTTGACCGTAGAGTGACCTTTCCGCCGCAGCGTGCACAGCACCGGATGTCGCAGTAGTTGCAGATGTGGCCGACGCCGTCGGCGAACTTGGTTTTCAGGCATATGTGACATGTAGCGTTCAGCTCCACTCCCGCCTTCTTGTGTTTCTCCGAACGCATCCGTATCGTTTCCTCAAGGACCTGCACCTCATCCTGCTTTCGTCTGCAAGCATAAGAAGGAGCAAACATTAAAAGAGAAGCCGAACCCCGCGAAAGCGTACGTCGAGCTCAATCGTGCTTTATTCGCACATTCTATTTTCGGATTTATCCCCCGGAGGGATCTCATATTCCCGGATCCGATTCCACAAAATCTGCAACGCAAAAGGATCCGCAAATAGCACCAAAGAAAATTATCCGAAGAAATAGAGGCAACAGCTTGAACTCGAAAATTTCATTAAGACTTCGAATTAACTTAAAATCGCATCAGCACCCACCTGGATTCTCATTTTCGCGTATATTTTTACACGGGAAGATTGAAAAACTGTTGCGATCGTCGTTTCACGAAGTAAAACCGTCGCCTTCGGCGTCTCGCGAAATTTTTATCAGCCGAGAAGATCGTCCGCGTTCTTCCGATATGGAGAACAGACGGCCGAATTTGTCAATCCTAATTCTACCATTTGCGGACTCGCGTTCTGCCAAATCTCGCGGGATAACGCGCCAAACGCTGTAGATTTATCTCCGGCCCGTGGAAATCGCGCGCGTCCGATCTCTCCCCGGATGCGACGCGACGACGCCGACCTCACACTCCTGATCGTCTCGCCGCGTCCATTAAGCCAATTTAGGAGCGTGTGTCCTGCACGCTCGAAATTAAGCCGGCGACTGTGTCAAAGCGCGCACATCGTTACTCGGCTTGTCGTCGACCGACGCGATATACAGGGTGAGGCAATTACTATCTTGAATATCTTCGAAACTATGAGAAAAATGTACCTAACAGAAATCACATGGTGCAGAAGCGGTCGTCTTTTGGCGGTAACGCTTTTTTCTAAGCGGAGTAGCTTCAAAAATCTGAAGATCATCTTTCATCTTAAGATCATCGAAAAGTGAATATTTTCAAAGATATTTTACTTTTTATCCTGATATTTTTTCACAGTACGAGATATGAAATATCTCATAAAGTACTCACTTTTCGCTAATATCATCTTACCATTTTTATACATGATAATATGAGAGAAATCGATCACTGATATTAATTACTGCACATTAGTGTATCGATATATTTGCAAAATGCAATAAGTTTTATTTTTTTAAGTTTCTCCATATTTGCTTACAACAATCGATTTCATCTGTCATTCTACATAAAAAAAGTGTTAAGATGATGTTACCGAAAAACGAATATTTTATGAGATATTTCATATCGTTTGTATTGAAAAGTATCAGGAAAGTAATGAGTAAGATATCTCGGAAAGCATTCATTTACGCGGAATGAACACAGAGAGGAATCGGTTCATGTTGAAAAAACTATATGATTCTACTTAACCCTCTGATATAAGTTAAGATCAGATTGACCCCACAGCTTCGTTTATTTTAGAGCATGGACGTGCTGTTTCTCTTATTGAGGATTATTTCACGTTATTATTTATCTTTAAAGTTACTCCACCTAAAAAAAATTATCGTTACCATCATAAGACAACTGCTTCCGTACCATGTAATTTCAGTTAGATAAATCCTTCTCTCACTCTCATAATTTCGAAGATATTCGAGATAACAAAGTTATTGCCTCATCCTGTATATCGGTGGGCTGTAAAATCCGTCCCGGCGACGCTATATGCGCACGTGCGTGGCGGTGCTGCCTGCCAGCTGTGATAGAAAAGAGAGGAAAACACTTGGCACACGACGACGGTCTTTGGGTCTCGAGTCGCGTACGCGAAAGGCGACTCGGAAGCGTCGACCGAGGGTTGTTGGCACCGCGACGTGCCGGCCGGCCCCGCCTCAATGTTTCGGTAAGTGCAGAACCATATCACGCAAAAAGGCACCACCCGAGCCCACCGGCCGGCAGAAGCGAGATCCTGAAACTATTGAACTCGCGAATTATTGGCGGGCATCTTGTCATTTTTACCGCGGGAATTTGTGTGATGACGGCGGGCACTGTATCGCATCCTTGTGGATCGTCTGCAAGGGCCAGAGATAATAACTGCCGCTATTATGAAGGTGACCCGAGCGAAATATAATTCGCGCCAATCTGAGAAACGTGTCTATTCTATTTTCCGTCTCGACTGACGTAAGGACACCGCCTCGAAGTCACACACGCCCGACGTTCGCGACCTTCCTTCCCTCCTCTTACCCTTGACCGATCGTCAAATAATGGAAACAATCGTGTTACGCATCCCCTGTAACCTAAATCTCGAGTTCGCCTCGGTGGAACAAAAGCTCTCTCGCTCGCGCTCACAACGTCGAGGGCACACCGCACATCCGCCTATATTTCTCTAATTACTTTATCGATAATCGAGTGAGCCGCGCACGCAACGGTGATCACACTCGACAAAGAGTCGCTCAAGACTTACCCACTTCTGCGTTACGAGCAATCGTGCAAAGGTCGCGACACGCGAGAAATTGTTTCTCCTTTATCGGGACGAGAAGGGGCTAAAGAGCGGCGTGCACGGATGACTTTTACGTTTCGCAATATAATTCCACTCGATATTTCGCCTTAATGCCGCGATATGTGGAAGCGGCGACACTGTTTACCCAGTAAACACTGACTAACAGTGGCATCAGGTCAATGTCACAATTCCCTACTCTACAATATAAGCACATATTGTATGTAACAGATCACGATATATAACATACAATACATAACAATATTGTATAATGTACGATATGTATAACGTCACGGAGAAAAATAATATTCTGGCACAGCAAATTGTTACGCTGTTGCAGGAAAATCTGTCAGTTGCTATACGCATAGAAAAATAATTTGTTAAAAATATTAATTGCCATTCGCTAAACTATTTTGCTGAGAACAAATTAGTAAATGTAGGAAAACATTTTGTGCTAACAACAAATTATTAGATAGCAGAATATCTTTTATCTTGGTGATAAAATTGTTTTTGCTCTAATTAAGAATAATTCGTTAACTTGATTATACCTGCTAAATGTTATGGGTATCGCAACGAAGATGCATTGGTGGTTTCGTTATAACAGCAAAATTTTTCTCCGTAATATTATACAATATACATATATAACAGTTCACAATATAACGTATATCGTGTATAACGGTTATATCGTCGAGTGAGAAATTATAAACATTGATATAATATTACATTGTTTATTTCTATGTAGCGCAGGAGAAAACATCGCGGTGAGGATATAGCCATCTAAGGTGGAACGTCGTGCGAATATTGCGGATCGCGTTTATAAAACAGGACAAAGACCGTGCAAACGTTAATGCGTGATAATACGGTGACTGAGTAATGGAACGAAGCGAGCAACTTCCGACAGCTCGAAATGCACGTTCGTTGTCGTCTTTCTCGCGGCCCGTGAGGAATTACCGAAATGAAATTTGCAGCGAGACGCGCGCGTTGCGAGCCTATATCCTATTCAGGAAACGAGTGGCGCGACGATGTTACATTATTACAGAGGCTACTTTCCTTGAAACGTTCGCGGATGAAATTGTACAACGGGCGAGGAGCGAGACGGAGAGGACGAGAACGCGATGCGATATTCGACGCGCGATTATTTATGTCTGCTCGTCGTGAAAAAGGAATTATTAAATTTTCTCACTTCTCTCCATCGCGAATATCCTCTTCGATAAACGACTAAAGTGCGATATGCATCTTCCTCGTTGTTACAATCGCCTGCAGAATTGTTCGTATTCTTCAGAACGCAAAGAACGTCCGACGAGAGATATTGATTTTTGAATAACTATTGGGTTGATGTAAAAGTTCGTTCTATTTTTGAATCAGTTTTTCGCTCAGAAATCCTAAAATTTTTACGATTATGTAACCACCGGAGAGATAACGGATCCTCGAAAAAATTGGCGCATAATTGATTGATTGTATATCTTAAAATATAAATAAACGTTATATATGTATTTTGATTAAAGAATGGGACGAACTTTTGCAACAATTCCAATAATAAGACAGGGTCGGATGTCGCGTGTGTATACTGATAGAAATTACAGTTACTTTCAGCTCCAACCTTTCCTCGGTTTTCATCACAAAAATAATACTAGCAATATGTATATAAAATTATTATCACTGACATAACAAAAAATATTTTCTACTTCAACGTGTTGAAATCGTTTCTTGTTAAAATTTTTGTGTTAAATTTCTAACATATCCGTGTGTTTAACATATTGTGTTTATGTTACCTCAATATTTTGTATCGAATCGATATTCAATATATGTAAATGTCAAAATGACACATTTTATATTTCAGTGTCAGCTAACTTTGCAACATAATATTTATGTTACTTTTTAACATATTCATCTTGCATTAAATTGACGAAAAAATTTGCGTGGACCGTTTGGGACGTGTGAAATACGTTAAGTCCAATAGAGAATTTTCTACTGTGCAATAACATTTGCTAGAAAAATATTTCTCCCGACTATAATTCATTCACTATAGCTTCCAGTTACGATGTATTACAACACAGCTATATTTTTCCTTCAGCATGCATATCCTGGATGTCGTGAACAGGAACTCTCAACCGTGCGCGCTCCATCCCCGCGCCTCATCCGCGAGAGATGGGGTATTGCAAACGATAAATTAACGCAACGACGTAATACAGCGTCTTAACTTTCCCTGCGTTGAGGCAAAACGTGCTATAGCCGTCTCGCCATTCCACGGTATTTGCACTCCTATTTCCCCCCTCGCCATCCCTCACTCACTCATCCTCCCACCCGACGACGGATAGGTGTGCTACCCTAGGACGCGTATACATTTCACCTCGAAGAATTCACCGTGCCAATCCAAGCGCTTTCACACCCCGTCCACGAGCTACAGCCGCATACCCTATGCAGCTGCAGCAGCTCGTTACTAAGCCACGTCAAGGCTGGTCGCCTTGCATTTTACATGCGTCCCTACACGTACTTGTCGTCTACATTACATGATCTCGCATCGGTATGGTGCAGCACGCTTTCCTCATTATTCTTTCCCTTCTTTCTCACGTTCCCGTTTTTCCCCGGCCGTCGCTGCCGACCTATCAATAAAACCCGTTCACTGCGCAACGCTCGCGTCCACCTCCTCCGCCGACCCGGCTCCGCGGGGTGGTTATTGTTAGCCAGCGCGCCGAGAAAACGCCGGCTCTCTCCTATTCGCGTAATTACACACGCTCTCTCCGCCCGGTCAGTCATCGTCGCCTATGACAAGCGGAGCACGACCGGACCGATCGACCGGCTCTCGATCGGTCGTATTTTTATCAACGACTCGCTGTCAACGAGACCGCATGCTCGCAGAAGGGCTCCTTGCGACACGCTCTCCTCCCGTTTCGATGACGTTTTTCGGAGGATTCTTGGAAATCGTCCGATCGCGATCTGTCCCCAGGCTCGTTTCCATGGGAAAAGTGCACCGGTAATATGCGCCCCCGCGTGCCGGTGTTCGCTCTCGTTACTTTATTTCGACGCGTATATTCGACGAGATCTGGGTATATTCGTGCGAAACACGGGGCGGCTCGAGAATATTTGCGGATGACCAAGACAATTATAAGCGATTTTTATTTCTGAACGCTTGATACAAGAAGGATGGCGGAGAAAAAGGCGGTGGGAGGAACGGAAGGAGAGAGGGGGGAGGGAGAGGGGAGAACCAGCGCGATAATCGGGAGCATGTGCAGGGCCGTGGATACATAAATGGAAGATGTAGGTGTAAAGCGGTCAAGGACTAACGAGCAGGTGAGCCGGGAAAATAGGTGAAACGAGCCGGAGCAGACTCATTGGTCAAGAAATACCTTTATCCGATCGATCCGTCTGCCAATTGTGGTTATCGGTAACAACCAACTAAACGACGTCTCACTTGACCACGCGGCTGACCATTAATATTTTTCATCACTTTGATAACTTTCAAGCCGTCGGCGATCGGGCCGATACGAGTATCGTTTCCCGCGGTGCGACTCGCGCAATTGCGTATGGTCAGTCACGAAAAAAGTTGCAAACACTTATTTTATGAGTTTTGCAATGTATCTCGTGTCCAATAGGAAAAATTGCTTCTTAACAATTCTCAAAAGATACATTTTCCTTTTTTGGATAAGAGATACGATGCGAAATCGAGTCATCGAAAAAGAATTTTGCAACCTTCTTATAACTGATCATACTTCCGAATACTTTATATAAATCGCAAATTAAAAACTTACATCTTAATAAAAATAATAAATCTTCCGTTTTAAATTTCACGTTTCTCAGAATCACCTTTTCAATCACAAATTAACTTCATAAAAAAGTTTTTCTTTTCTCTTATTTATGTCGCGGATTACCCTATTTATAATAAATAAATAAACGTCCTTCACACACGTATTCACTCAGATATTCACACACAATATTTCTCGTGCGAGTCAAAAATTGACGTAAGCACTTAAACGAGGATCCGCTCGACTGTTTCACCATATGTCGCGATTGACCAGCGTATCAATTATCTACGCGTCGCGAGAGCCTTTGAATCCAACTTGAAACGCTTCCTTTCGTCCGCCATGCCATGCACGATTTCGCCGGTCAAGCAAGGCATATCGGACGATATAAAAATGGCCAACAATTAGTGAAAGCACGGCGGACAATAGCAGCTGCACACGTCGCGGTACGAGAATGTTATTATAGCCATTTGACCGGCCCGACAATATCCGGCGCGATTAAATACCCGTGTGAAAGCCGGGACGTCCTGCTTGTAAAACAATACCTTCATCGATAGTTTCGAATCCGTCGCGAGCCACACTCGCACTGCCGTGAAAAAGCCGCGTATTCGCGCTTCAAAATCCGCTCTTGCACATAGGACGCAATTGTCATCGTGATAAAACGCATGCAAGTAAATCCGCACTCACTATTTTAACTGGTTCTGAATGCTTTAGAAGAATGAACGACAGCAAATAACATCATCGACACGTCGTTATTTAAATAGAACCGCTCATTAATCAATTAATTCCACGCAAATTGCAAAAACATTTTGTACTCGTGTTAAAATCGGTCCTCGTCTCGCGTTAAACATATCCGTATTTAACATATTGTGTGCTTATGTTATCTCAACATTTTGTGTTGTATTCAACAGTGGAATTTCTTAGATTTACCAAGTAGTTTAATTAAATTCTTTCACCGTATAATATCTAACGTTATGATGGCGTTCGAGAGTTATTCCTCCCTTACTTGATCGTATCATTTTTCTCCGGACGAATTTGACGTACTCGCCATTTTCGCTGGAATCCGCGGGCAAACGTCACGTGTCCGAAGGGGATTTTCGAGACGCGGATACACACATTCGGGTCGCTTACCTCATGATCTCATTCTCCTGTTCCTCCTCCTGCTTCTGCCGCATCATAACATTCTCTATGATGCGCCTCTCCTCGGGGGTGAGGTGCGATATGTCGGGTAGCTCCGCCATCACGGTGGCGACGAGGTACGCGGCTGCACGGGGGTTACGACGTGGATACGCGAGGAGGAGTTGGCCGCGACGCGGGGAGGCAAACCGGCGCACCAGCAACGTCGTCGACACGTCGGGCTCCTTCCGCGCGCTTCTACGACGCTCGACGGACGATACTGCCGGGTACACCCGTGTTCTACGACTACGAGGCACGGTTGTTGTCCTGGGGAAGTCATCCGACACCCGGTGACCGCACCACCGCACCGACGCGACGCGGGTAAGCGAGCGCCTCCGACGCACCGGGATTATGTCGTCGTAGCACCGTCGTCGTCGCGGACAGCTTGCGGGCAGGGCGGCAATCGCGACGGAAGGATGACTTCGCCCGCTCTAGGAGGAGACGACGCTGTTCGGACGTCGCGCTCTCACGTTGTTGCGTTCCAAGACAGTCGGGCAGTCTCATGCGAGCGCTCGAGGCAAGGCAGCAGGTGTCGTCGTCGTCGTCCTCGTCGTCGTCGTCGGTGTCTCTCGTCGTACGATTACCGCCCGTCGCATGTGTATGACAAATCATGTTCACAGGCTGTGAGGAGGCTCTCGCATTCTCTCTTGCGGCCGGGCCTCACGCGCTGCGCCGCCCGAATGCACCATCGGACGCTACGCGTATCCCCCCGTTAGATTCCGTCAGCAGATAATGGCTGCGTCCTTCTGGCCCTTCGAAACTCTTTCGAACCGCATCGATTGAAAAGGAAAACGGGTCACTGGGTTGCCGCTAAATGGGACTCCGCTCTCCGACGACTCGGTCTTCGCGCACCCCGTGGCACATAATAAATGTCGCGGATGTATCTCACACCAGGCGACGATACCTCCTCCTTCGGACTCGCTGACGACGATTCACGTGGCAGCCGACACGACAATGGCGCTCCTCGGCGCGCCTCTACCGCCAGACGCCCACGCAGTCGATCGTCCCCGAGCGGGCGGTTACACACCCACGAGAACCGTTTTCCCAGCTGACGGCGGTGCCTACCTCCTTATCGGCGCGGACGGAGAACGCCCTCGTAAAATCGGCCAGGTCGTCGCGAGGTTAAACACCCATCTCGGGCGTTACGGCTCACCTCGGCTCACACCCCCGCCCTTCGTCGAGCCGCGAAACTTTGGCGAACGGTCACACTTGTCACATATACACATTCACACTAGCGCGCGCGCCACAGCCAGACGGTACCCGCGCCTCACGACGTTCACGACGCCTTTCGTTCACCAGGTGGCTCTTCTTTCCTCCTTTCCGACGTCCATCGTCGTTATCCTGCTCGGCACTTGCGGCCAATTTCCGGTCGACCCTTCCTTGCACGTATCGCTCGCTCGCTCGCTCAGAGACCTCTAGCCGGGGGATAACGGGCGCCTTATCGCGCTTGTGTGCGACCGCAGTTGCGCGAACGAACTCGTTTCCCACCCTCTCCCGCCCCGTGTGACGCCATACAGAGTGGCTCAGAAGTCGCGCGTATTTCCGCCGAGCCCACGCTGGAAAGAATTTCTCTCTTCCTCTTTCTAGGTCTCGCGTTCAAGTACTGAAAAATCCGTCATTCAGCGCGAATTTACCTCGGCGAAACTTTCGTTCGAAGGTACTCGATGTCGGAATACGAGGGGATTTGTTCAATGTTCTCAAGATCGTATTACCGTTGGCGAAAAATGGACTCTCCGAAGAATTCATAACGGAGGGGGGATTGCAATATTTCGTTGAAACACTTTGTGCGCGCTTGGCGTGCATCAAGTCCGGCTTCGAGCTTGCGGCGGACGACGGCGGAGAGGAGAATGTTCGAGGTGGAAAGACGGCGAGACGCTTCAAAGTACGGAGTCCGTTGGTCGAGTTACTCGTGCGATCGTCATCGATCCTACCGTGCGCTTCGATCGCGATCGACAGCCGTACTCGCGACGGACGCTGCCCGCGAGCATTCGTACATAACTTCACGCGAGTTTAATAAATAATGGGATTGCGGCGTACGTTCCGGCCAATGGGCGGGTAGGACGGCGCTGACGTAGCGGCAGATGTCGTATTGATCGACCAACGAACCAATCTGGCGCGAACTTTTAGGGGATCGTCGGCCGAGGCGCCGTATTTGAAAAACACGTCGAGACGAAGTCTTAAGAAAACAAAAATATCAGCAACTCTCAAGTGTTAATTGGAAAAGGATCGATAAAATGTCGCGGTTGATTGGATTCCTAAAAATTTTTTGCAAAACTAAATTCGAAATATTTCCCATCTCGCGTGTCTTATAAGACAATCTGCTCCTCCATTTTTTCTGTCTGTTTGGGAATGGTTCAAATTTGTGACCTTGATCTTTTAATTATTTCTGAATTGCGTTGTCATGATCGTTAAGGACGTGACTACGTCGCGTAGTCTGACCACCCACGTGCAGTAACAACTGCCAGCGTTTACTGCCGCTTGTTTGAAAGTCTGATATTTATACGCTGTTGAAACTTATTACGTCCCTTCCCCCCTTAGTATTAAATTATTTTATTTTATACAGGATAATAATACAATGAAGTTTATATATATATTGCATACTTATGTTATTAAACGATAAAAAATGTGATTTTATTGCACACAGGTACACTTATATATTTTATTTTATTACAATACTAATATTAGCACACATATACAAAACAGCACGGGAAATTTATAGGACAGTTTACAATATTTTTAGGACTTTTTACAACAGTAATCTAATGTTTCTGCGTTTTGTTTATCGATAATGTTGTATATAAGAGCGGGGTAAGTATTTCGAAATTATTAAAAACAGTGAAATTACTCGTAAATCATATACAGTCAGATAACTAAATTATTTTACACATTTAAACTAAATTAAAAAACGTTCAGGCATGATTATAAGGAAACTTATTCTCAATAGTACATAAAAAAATTATATAGTATAAATGTTCTGTATATATAAATATTAAAAATTTGGCACATATCAATGATGTTACATATATAAAAAGCATTGCATAAAATAGGAAAATA